GGGGGGGGGTCAGACCTGAAGATCTATAAGGTCCCTTCCGACCCTACTTCTATGATAAGAACAGGTACTGCTTCTCACTAAAACATGCATAGATAAGAGGAAAACAAATCTCCTTTGTTCTTTTCAGGTTGGTCACATAGGTATGACTTTTTAGAGACATGTATAATTTTTTTTTTTTTTATAAAAACAATGACAAAGTTAGAAGTGTTTAACCTTAATATTATACATGCTTCCTCTTAAGAAGTACAATAAAGTGCTTTGCTCATAATGTGTTCTAGATCTAAAATTAATTTCTGCAGTTGCTTATTAATACCGCCCCCCCCGGTGTAATCAATAGGAAGCCAGTTAAACCAAGAAGGAAGTGGGGGAGAGAAACCAATGTAGAATCTGGCCCCTAAAATTTACTTCCTTGTAAGAGCTACGATTCATCCACAAAAAGTTAGGAATGTTAATTACATACAATAAAAGTAAAATGCACTGTAATATCTACAGCCAAGGTGTTTATTAGATGTGGGATTTTTCAGTATAGTATTATGTCACTAAGTACTCTACAAAAATAGTTGAAATTGTTGAAGGGGACAACAAAGACCATTTCACACAGATTTTTTTTTCCCTTCTGAAAGATGTAATTTACATATATTCAATTTAAAAACATGCTAAGAAACAGTAAATTTCTGTTAAAGTTATGACCAATAAAGTGGGTTAAGGGAAGCTGGAAACACAGTACAGTATTAGAAATATATAATATCTCTAAAAATCAAGTATCCAGCATCTTCCTGACTTCCCATCTCACAAATATCCTTTAGATAAACTTAAAAAGAAAAAAAACAAACTTACATTTTGCACTTAATATTGCTGGCTGCAAAACATGGAAAAGCGAAGCTGCCAGCAGAAAAACGGATCCAGAAGCATGCCAAGATTATTAAAGGCAACCAGGAGCCCAAAGCCTGTATGGATGAGCATGCACCAAGAACAAGTGATACCAAGGAATTTATAAGAAGTTGGTTTACATTTTTATACAGCCATTAAGAGACTGAGCCTACTTATATTACCTTAATGTAGGGAGGACACAGAGAACTCAACAACAAACGTATGAACTTACATTTGGTAACACAGTTGTGCCTGAAGGGCTCCACTGTGCTAGATATTGTACTTAGCCTTAGATAGATCAGGAGACAGTTCTTATCCCAGAAACCTTGACAATTCACATTTGTCAAGATTTGGCAGCAAAACAAAAACAGAATTTGCAGTATTGGCAGCTCTAACCTAGCTACCACAGATGCTCATAGGAGTGAAGACATGGTACTACAGGGTTCAGGGTAAGCTAGAAATCAGAGGTCAAGCCTCTGTGGACCCTAGGTACGTATGGTTTGGTGACTAAACTGGGTTGCCATGCTGCAATTAATCCCCGATAGCTAAATTATATCCATCACAAATATACCCAAACATGCAAGACTCACATCTTCAGTTCACAATGTAGCCATGTCCTTAATGACTTTGCCACATCTATAGACGGGCCAGAAGCAGAACCCCACTAGAGTATCTTAATTACAAGATCATCCTTCCCCAAATTCAGAATTTACAACTGAGAGCAAGGGTGTCAAATCTACAGCCTGCAGGCTGGATCCAGCCTGAAGAGCTGTGTCATATGGCCTTCCAGAGGCACCAATAATTCAGGGAAAGGCAAACAGGGTCAGAGCCCACCACTGAAATCCGGTGTACAGAACCCCACTGGGGATGTGTGTTGGCAGCAGGCAGGAAGGGGGCAGTGCATCAAGCAACAGCCATGTAACCCCTGTGGCCACACCTCATCCTGCCACTGCTTCTGGATCTAGCCTTCAACGATCCAGCCCTGTTGTCCAGATATGGCTGGAGGAGAGGTAGTGTTAATTTGACACCCTTGCCCAAGAGATAAAAGGCTTAATTCCCTTTTTCCTCACACCATGCACCAGCCATTCTCCATCTAAACTCAAAACAACGACTAACTCTGCATCTCATTTCCCATCTTTTGAATCATTCAGCACCCATATTCAGGGCAAGCACATCAAAAAAGAGTGCCCACATCAACATGCCCTTGTGCTGGTTGGTACAGGTATGATTCCAGAAAGCCCTGTTCAGACTTCTCTAACTCACAGGGCTGCAGCTAGTGCTAGTCCCCACGGCTGACACACCACTAACAAAGTCACGACTATAGTAGAAACCCCAGCCCCAAATCAAGTGCCAGAGCCACCATGTCCCCAGCATGTAAGCTAGAAAAAGGCAAGATACTAAAATGTGCCAGGAGTGGAAAGATGAGCAACACTGCATCTTAGCTCTAGGGAATGAAGGATTTCAAACACTGCAACAACCAGGAGGATGTCTAATAAAGCCACGAGAAGAGGTGTGCCAAATCCAGCCCACAAAGCCACATCATGTCATGGGGGCCACAGGGCTGGAAATTCAGGAATGGGGCCTGCCTTCTAAATCCAGGGCACAGAGCCCCATCATACATGTGTCAGCAGCAGGGGGCAAATAACAGCTGTACTAATCCGCACTGCCACCACATCTAGATCCAGCCTGTGAGGATTCCCCAGACAGGATCTTCTTTGGGAGGAGGCAGGACAAACTGACACCCCTGATCTAGAAGGTACTTATAATTGATAGGTGCTTCAAAAAGGCTACAATGGATCAGATATGTCCCATTACACAAGGAGGAGAGAAACAACAAATACAATATTCAGTTTAACTTCTGGTGGAATAAAAGCCACAGTATAAAATTTTATACATTCAGTAGATTATATCAGAATCTCCTAAACTGTGGTCTGCCCTGAGTCAAAGATAACTCAATATTATATTCAATTTTAAGAGTGCATGGTGACCAGCAAAGTATTTTCAGGCCTGCTAGCAGTCTGCTGGCCCAAAAAATATTGGAACCATTAGCTCCAGCTGGTCTCATAATGGGAGTTCCCCCTAAAATCCCACTGCTATTTCTTTTGAAAGAGCCAGTTTAGTGCATTAGCATCTGTCTGTTTATCCTTTCTTTATATTTATACATATATATCTTTTCTGACTAGTAGCCAGACAGGTCATAACCATTAATGCATTTTAACCATCCAATACGTGAGAGTAGGGGAAGCATTTATGAATAGAGAAGAGGCACAGAATGCCTCGGGGTCACACAGTACATCAGTGCAACATAACTACAAGCTCCAGCTTTCCTAGATTCTTTCACAATAGCCCATCGGGCCTATGCTACAGACACTCACCAGCCGGTGCCTACAAAACAGAAGGCCAGGGACTGTTATTGCAAGGCTGTGCAATCCCCCCCCCCCCAACAGAAGTGTTTATTAAACCACTGACTGCATTAGTACAACTGGGTGCTGAAGAAGGGCTACCCGTTTAATCACCAGCCTTCTCAGCAGCAAGGCAAGTGGCCACACTTGCTGGTCGAGTTCCCTCATTCGCAACCATCTGTCTTGCTGGTGGCTCCCGTCTGCCAGGAGGCTTCACGAACACAGCTGGTGGGCCCTGGCAACCAGATCTCAACGATGCCTCTTCCAAACCCGCCGGTGGCACCTTCTGTCCCGCAGAACCCCTTCCATGCGCTCACTCCCAAAGGAGCCCGTCGCTTTGCACCCCCCGCCGGGGTCACCCAGCGGCGTGACGTCAACCCTGAATCCGACCCACGCTCCCCGAAACACAGGCAGGCAGGCAGGCCCCTGACTCGGCTGTGCCGCTCTGGAAGCAGGGCCGACGTCTGCCTCATTGCTGAAAAGGCTAGGGAGGAGCGGGGTGGCCCTCTTCAAACACCCCCTGGCAGGGCTGCAGTTCACGGCGAAGAATACGCGTGTGTGGCTCGCCCGCCCTGGTCCTGCACAACTGGCGCCTCCCGCGCGCGGCTTGGTCCAGGCCCCTGCAGCCCGGCTCTCTCCGGGGCTGGGGCCAGGGGGCGCTGCTGGAGCAAGGGGCCGGGGGCACCAAGCTGCATGCGTGTGGCTAGCTCGTCCCCGCCGTCCAATCCCCCCGCCCCTTCCCCGACTCAGCACCTACCCGGTCGGCGGCCGCGATGCAGCGCCGGGTCGGGCCGGAGCAGCACTGCAGCAG